AGACTGTAAAACAGTAGGTTTTTCCCCTCAAAATCACAATCAAAATTGTTTACTATGTAGGTGCAAAGTGCCAGCACATTGTCAGAGTCTCGCTCACACTAAACAGGCAAACCTCACATGCCTGTCATCTCTCCCTAGTCTTACACTTCATTTCCAGCCTTGCTCCAGACCTTTAAGCTTTTGCATATTTGACATACACAAAAATTGGGTACTGTTTTGTACACATTCCTAAGGGTTTTTGGTCATTTTTTAAACTGTTTCAAAATTCCTGAATTTTGGCATGTCACTTTTGTTTTAGTAGACAAACCCTTTTTGAACTCTTTCAATTTTGAAAAGTAACTTATTCAATAATTAAATAAGTTACTTTTCGAAATAGAGTAAGTTATTACTTATCATAAGGCTTGACTCACCTGCAGTGGTTTAACAGGATCAAGATTCTCTGCAATCTCACTAAACTTCTCAGGTGTCATGTTAAACATAAACCCAGTCTAAAAAACCAAAGAGGAAAAATATACCATGGTACAAAGTACGTGTAGGACAATGAAACATATTTCATGTACTTGCATGTGTCCTTTGTTTATTGATTGATATAGGCTGGTTTGCATTTACTTAATTATCGAATATTTTCTTATTAATTAAAATTAGTAGAGGCTTCCATTAAGTGTACAAAAAAATAATAAGCAAATTACAGAGGCAAACAAACAAACTCAAGGTCCCAATGTAGTTGACCCCAGAAAAGGGAAAAAATTCAAGAGTTCAAGAAAAATTAAGGATAAGAAATCAAATATAGCAAATAATATAAATAACAACAATATTATCATAATTTAAACTGATGTACAACAAGGGCGAACCATTTTCCAGGTTCAAAAAGTGGCCCATTAACAAATTAATGAGTGAGTAGCCAGCAATTTTGCTGTTTCCAGTAGAATATTAGTCTAAATTTTCAGTCATCCCTTCACCCTACCCCCACTTGCAGCAGCCTGTTAAGGAGGGGGGAGGGGGGGGGATGTCATTTCAGACTAATGGAATATTGCCACCTTATCGACACTACCGTTTAACAATATTAGAGAAACCACATGCATTTTGGCTTTTGTCATGTGGTACCCTGGTTATCCTTCCCACTGTTACATAAACCATTTTGACTGGGCAGGCTGCGATGAAAAAGGGGACCATGTGATCTCTTAGACCTTGTAAAAGGCACCTTCACCTTCAAAGAGAATGATTTATAAGTAACCAACTTATCAATACTTTGCTCCAGTTATACCTGTCCAAATGAAGATGACATGGATGAATCTTCATCACTTGAATCCAGTGATAACCTGAAAGGTGCCATTCGGCCCCTGTTTTCTGTGAGCTCATAGTCAGATAAACGAAGGCGAGGATTCTGAGAAAAGGTTTGGATCTGAAAATCAAAATAAAAGTTACATTAAGTTATCACAGGTGATTACATGCTTCTTTTTAGTATTACTAGTTATTACAAAATGTAATTTTACCAAAAATGGCTGAGAAATGGACAAGATGATTTGTCAGAAAATATCACATTCAAAGAAACTCTTAAGAATTTGTCAAGAACTGGGTTACATGCAGTACTATTGATAGCCATGTTTCAAACAACTCAAGAAGTATGCTTCTTCTTTATTGAACATACAATGTATGATAGCTCAAAGTGTACATATACAAAATGCACAGAGGATAAACTATCAGTTATTAAATTTTGCATTGCTAATTTTCATGAGAACTTTCTATTTTCAGGTCTTTAATTCTGCAGAAATTAGGTGGTTGAAAACTGTACACCTGTATGACCTTGGCTATGAAGATTAGGAAGACCATTTTAGACTACTGGTAACATTTTTAATTAAAAGTATTTGTAAGGAATTATACCAGTGCATTCACAGCATCCTTTGTATCTGCTAATATTGACTGCTGGAGATTGATAAACCTGCAAGGGTAAGAGGGTGGTCAACAGTGACCAGTGCAGCAAGCATAAAAAGACAAAATGAAAATACTATCTTTACAACGTGGACTGGCTATTAACTGTGATAGACATACATGTATATTCATCTTTGTAGTAGTAAGATCAGTACTAGTTTCTTTAGCCTTGAAAGAAAAGTCCATTAAAATGTTCAGACAATATCTCAAGGTATACACTGTATGAGCAGGTAGAACTTTTAAGTGCAAAAAAGATCATACTTAATATGCAAGGCTGTGCCATAAGAATAATTGAAGGGAACTCATTTCCCTGAACCTGAGAAATCAAAGGTGCCTGGGATATGGTTTTTATGGAAAACTAAGATTTTCAAATTGCCCAGGAGCAAAATAAGCAATGTAATGCTAGAACACAGCCTAGATATTTTATGCCATCATATATGTACCAAGAATTAGAAAGTAAAAACTCTGCATTATATCAGATCATAATAATAAATATTTTCTTACAGTAATACACACAATTATCCCGCTAAACTTTTATCCAATGTCCTAGTATTCAATTAACCCTCCCTGGTTCTATCATGGTCATGGAAAGACTCAGTGGCAGATCCAGAAAATTCAGAAAGGGGTGGCGGGACACTTGAAAACTCCATTCTAGATAAGCTTTATTTCTCTGAGACGGAATTCAGTAAAAATAATACAAAATTTCAAAGAAAAAAGGGTGGCTGCAGTCCCCTCAGCCCATCCCTAAATCTGCCATGAGACTAGATAAAATAATAGAAATGCTTTATGATACAGCTGTCCTCCAGCATTGTATAAAGATTTCAATGTATTCCTTCAGTGTATTAACTGTTACTCACTCTGGTGATGCTATAATCTCCTCAGTTATCACTGGAAGGGTGTTGTTCCTGTCCCCCTCCCTTCCATCAAGTCGCTCTAACTTCTTGTCGATCAACGGTGTAAGTGTATTGTCAATACGGCTTCTAAGCTGCCTCACAAAGTCATATCTAGCAGGAAGTTCAGGATATTTTGTGCAAGTTAGTTTAATTAGACCATCTGATTTGTTAGATCCCAATCTCCTCTACCTTTACCTTTAATAAGTTAGTAAAGCTGGTGAGGACGTATCACACTAACTGTTAAAAAAAAAAGAAATACATATATAATGACTAGGCTAGTTTGGATTGTAGTTCATAAAAGTAGTCACTTTCTCCTTGAACACAGCTAGCGATAGAGACAACACTACTGCTGCTGGGAGTGCATTCCACTCCCTAGAGACCCTCTGGAAAAAGAAGAATTTAAGGGTATCCTTAGAGTTAAAGGGAATCTGGAATTCATATGTATGACTGTTCCAAGTTCTTGTTTCCTTGGAGAATTTCAACAGAGACCTTTAGATTCTAAGATGAGTACAACTATGAGTACGAGATTTCCTCAGTGCTAAGTAGTGCACGTGCATGAACCAGTGTTATCATTTTGGCGGGAAAACTTGGTAGCTGTCATCAGTCAACTGTGATGCTTACCGAGAATGTCAAATTAGCATAAACAAGATATCAAATGTTAGAAGTTTTATCATTTCTCGATCTGGAGGGGGTGTAACCTCCTTCACTTAAGATAACAGTACTAAATTTTCTAGTGAAAAATGGTAGAATGAAGCTTTCCCGAGAGTCTATAATTAAAAATATGCGAAAAAGCTTTAAGTCAAATCTCATACTCGTAGTCGTCCCCGTCCTCGAATCTTAAGGTCTCTATTATGTATATTCAAATCAACGAGTACCTTCCTGAGGTCTGGGGTGAGGAGGTGTTTATAGAAAACCCTAGCTGGTAATACTAATCCCATGGTAACCTATGCACATTTATAATGCATTTAGTTACTTAACAGTAGATTTTTCCAAGGTGACCCGGGCTAGAAACAAAATGGCTCGGATACATGTACATTTAAGCTTATCCTTATTAATATGCAAACCCTCGACGTCGTCTCGGGTTTGCACAACTGTCTCGAATTCTCCCAACCCCTCGAATGTTTAAATCGGGCTATGCAAACACCGAAAACGTTTTCTATTGCTTAAGTAGCTTCTGCCTACGGACGCTATGAATGGTTGGTCAGGATTTAAGAATTTGATGTTCTACTGCCATACTCTAATTCAAACGAAATTCTTCGAGCAAAACAAAAACGTTTAAATGGAAAGCTGCAAGCTTACTAACATGTCAGTGAGTTACCTGTGAAAATTTTCATCAGTTGCCTCCAGGTGTGTCAAAATGTCTTCGGCCGCTGCGACAGAGCCAGCTTCCTTTATAGCCGGTTCCAAGCTTAAAATCAGTTGGTTTAAGCTCGCAAAGAAATTATCATGAACATCTGAATCCTTTCTGTCCATGTTTAAAGCTCAATCACCAGCGATTACCCAAAAAAGCTCCCTTGTTTTCCATGCCGCCATCTTTGTTGATAGGGCGCTCGATATTATTTTCGTTCCCAGACTGCGGCGCAGATGCGACGAACTATCCCACAATTCATTGTCGCCTACGTTCGGCGTAAAGAAAAAAGCGAAGCGTTTTTTCCTTTTTTCGCGCTAAACGTAGATTTAGCCCAATGTGAATAAAAACAGCGCTGCCGTTTAAAGGTACCATGCGAACGTCAACGAAGAATCATGATTCGAACTGGGCGCTTAAAACTGAGAGCACGCGCTGCGTTCAAAGTTTTCATTGCAGCGCCATGGCAACTGAAACTTGATGTTTTTAAAAAAGTTTGCGAATATTTTCTCGTTTAAAACATGTTGATTTTACTCCAAGAAAGAGAGTTATTTGCATTCTCCTCGCGTGAAAACGATTACTTCGCTCGCATAAAACGCCCTTTTTTCTCACTTCTTCTGTCATATAACTAAAACTGGTTGTTGGCAAAAGCTCTTCGGTAAACTTACTTTTTCATTCTTTTCTTTCCTTTTACAAAGTGCGCACAGCTATTAAAGCTTACCTTCTTGTCTTGCAGCGTCCGAAACAAACACTGAGAAAACTAAAAAGTACTAGCTCTTGTCTTTAACGTGACCGAAAAAAAAAATTTTTTTTCCAGTGCGATGCACGTCTCGTCCGCTCAGTTAAAATGAGCGAAGCAAATGAGTTGCGTCATAGTAAGACTTTCTTGACGTAGTGCGCGCGAAAATACATGGAATTGTTAACAGGTCTCGCATTTCTCAGAACGAGTTCGAATGTCTTATCAAGTTTGCAATACGAAAAGGTAGCCGATTGACATTTAGTCTTCATAAAACAATAACCATGAGGTTCTGGTCGTTTTCCAAATCTTTGCTGTAAATCTGTTCTATATGGCAACGTACCCTAAACACGGAAACAGGTGCCGCAGTGAGTTAAGTCTGGAGAAAGGGCTTTGGTCATAGAAATCAACAAGAGTGTTTAACCAGGAAGCTCTAATTCGGCGTAAACAACTCACTAGTCGTAACTGTTTTAATAAAGGAGGCTTGGACGTTTTTATTATGAAGCCTTCAAAGGAATTCTACAATGCATATAGCACTACTTACATATCTAAAAATTAGCTAAAAGTCTAAAACAATTGACCCTAATTTCCTAAAAGATAAGAAATACGAGCCCACAGGTTCCCTTTGGCCAATTTACAGACAAACGCTCTCAGACTCGCTTTTTCCAGGGCTGAGACACGATTTCAGAGGTGTCTTGAGAGGACATGCTTCGAGAAAACTTCGTAACAATGTTCTTGTTTTTTCCATAGAGAACAAATAAATTCAGTACAAATTACAAACGAAAAAGGTAAAGCCATACGTAGGTAGCAGTTCAATGCTCAATTGCAAGTGCAAACCCACATAGGAATCGATCATCAGTGATTTTGTTACCTCTGCGTTCTGAGTCCCTGACACAAAATTCCCACAGACGCAAAATAATTCATGGTATGCGTCCTACAGGACGCAAAGACCGATTTATCGATCTGAACATGTGTATTTGTTGGAATAGATCCCGTTCGTGCAATTTCTGTGGCAGTTATTATAGCTGTTGTTTAACAATGCATATTTCTTTTAGCCTTTGTTGTGCTTTAAAATAGAAGACTATATTTTATTTTCGGTATTCTGTAATACAGAGTTATGGAGTCAGATTAACTGTCTGGTTACGTAAAGGCCTAAGCATTTTCCATTTCGGGCTCGTTTTTATTCAACTGGGACTCATTGGTCTCATGATTTTTCACAATATGAGTCCCAGGACTCACCATAACTATTTGTAACAAAATCACTGGATCATTCTATTTATGATATTATACTACTACATGAGAAATTTCTGCAATTTGATTGGCTTAGAGCAGTGGTATTTCAGCTTAATTTGAAATACCTACATGTGAAAATTACAAACCTTTTGTGGGTAGTAGTATAAACAAATAATAGCATGATTTGTTCGTGATATTTGGCATAAATAACACTCGTGATATTTCAAAATTGTCTCAAATTTCACTCGCCTAACGGCTCGTGAAATTACGCATAACAATTTTGAAATATCACTCGTGGTATTTATGCCAAATATCACTACTAATCATGCTATTACCTATACAAAGGGGGAGATTTCAGAATAATCTAATTTGTAAGCCATACCGCTACGAAAAACTCTTGCAACTCTGTAAGCGCAAGAGTAAACACTAACCAACACTGCAGAGATAAATGGGTCTTCCGTAATTAAGATTGACATAAGAAAGAAAAGCTATCGGTTTTTACTCAAAAGGTGAAACTGAAGGAAGACAACCTCACTCGACCAAATCTGAAGTTAGTTCTTTCTTCACATTCTTCGAAAGCACTATTTTTAGTGTGAAAATTTAAGAACAAAAAAAGTAACAAAGTTTCATGTGATCATTTAGTCTCATGGTAAAACTTCCTGCAATTAAAAGTCGTCCTAGAGATTTAATCAGCGTGAAATCCTCGTGCGCTTGCCCGAACAAAGCAACTCCGCTTCGTTTATTTACATTTGTCTGCGAATACAGCTTTCTTAAAATTACTAAGGAACAGAAAAACTCTTGTGTGAGTGGCACGAACCTCCCAGCGCGTTGAACCCATGCACGTGCGTGTGACCAGCGCTCGCAATGTTATGCCACTCCCGTGTTACCCCTAACCTCTTTCTAAAAAGATGACACAGACGCTATTTGGCTGGTCACGTAATCCTCCCCAACGAGGAACGCGTGACGAAACCCTATATTAAAATGATTCCTTACTTGTAAACAAATTAAACTCATTTCACAAGAAAGATTTTGCGCCTGGCCTCATTTCATTTTTTATGGGAGGGGAGGGGGGTACTCGACAATGGCCTATTGGAGCAAGTGACGGCGTTGCTATCTGTTTGAAATATTACAAAATGAAAATTGACAATTTAGTAGAAAACTTTGTCTGTTATCAGTGACGAGATTGAACTTAATTTCTGACACCAAAGTTACAACAAATAATCGCAGACCTTTTGAAGTAATCTTAAAGGATTTTTTCACCACGTTTTCGCAGTAAAATGGTAACGTCCCATCTGAAATAAATAATAGATCAATTGTGTTTACAATAATAATTTAAAATGTACAAAATGGAACATTCTCATAAGTTCCAGCACTGATGATTTCGTTCCCATTATTTCTATACCATTCTGGTTAAACCCAGCCACTTCTGACCGCTAAGACTTCAAATCATTTAGTACATTGGAGTAATAAATTGACGTAAAATGAGGCTATTTCGCAAACGAAAGCATATTGTGAACTAAAATTGAATAACTACGAAGCTAAAGTGAGTGTCACGTAAGCCGTGATCAAAAAACGAAGTCTTTTTCCGCCATGTCGAGCGCCCAAGCAAATTTCTCTCGTTGCGTCTTGTTGTAGACTTTCTCTACTGGTACTTCGTGTTTCTTGCACCTTAAGAATAAAAAGGTAACAAAAACTGGTTTTAACTACCCTGCGAACAGAGGTTTCGCTCTTGCATGGCTTTTAGCGTTTACGAAAACGCGTGGCTTGTCTGTCGCGTAGTTGCCTGAACAAACCAA